GGCCCCGTGTCACGGGGGCCCCGAGGGGTCAGCTTGCAGAGCGTTCACGCGGCGGGGCTGCGATGATGCTGGGCTCGTCGGGCCGGGACGGTCGGTTTCGCGGCGGCGCCGGGCGGGTCGGTCCCAGGTGCGCATCGGGCCAGTCGGTGTTCGGCTTGGCCTTAGACCCAGTAGAGGCTTGATAGAAGTGCTCTCGGCCGAAGGTAGTCCTAGCGCAGGAGCAGAAGCGTGAAGGACAGTGACATTCTCTATCTATTGTCTGAGGCGTCACCACCGCAGCGTCACTTGTCTTGTACTTCTCGCACTGGGCGCCCGTCCTCTCCTGCATGATTTGCCTCCGCGCTTGTCCGCGAATCCCTCCTGAGGTCGAGCTCCCTCTGGACGACGTCTGCGAATACGCTTGAAGTGTGTCTGCTTTCGTGGATGTCTTGGCGGGCTCCCCTGTCGCGCGATCAAAAAAAGAGCATTCGCGGGTGTGCCTTGCGCAGCTCCAGCCCGTTGTATGTTAGGTAATTGTGTGATGGTGTTCTTGGTTGCTGATGCAGGAGATTGCAGGAATGGTGAATCATTTAGCCCCCACACCCACACACAACCCATACACCCAGCACCTTGAACACACGCGCCGAAGATGTGTACGTGCACGAGTTCACATAGTTAACACTTTGGCTGAGATCTCTGCGATATACCATGTTCATGGTGCCGTTCACACCGCGACATGATTGAATTAGTCAGTTAACGTTTCCATTGCGGAGCTGGATATGTTGATCAGATTTGTAGTCCCGAGGATGCACGCCGATGTTGGAATGTCTGTGTGTACCGTTTCTCATGTTCAGATCAATAGTTCGAACTACCTACGAGCTGATCGCTTTCCGCTTGTTTTGCGAAGGTTTGAAAGCAATGCCAGGACTACGACTGCGCGTCCATTGCCGTCCATGGCCCCCTCCCCACCAATTGTCAATATAACAGTTGTCGCTTTCTCGACTGTTCATTCATGTGATGTTCGTCCTCCATGCTGAATTCCCTCATACGCGATCATCTTGGTGAGTAAGACGAGCGTACCCGCTGAAGTCATTTATTGATAGCACCCTCGGGGAGGTACAACAGCGACTGCCAATGCCGTTTGTATCGCTCTCGCTGGTGCATCTGCATGCTGCATGATCAGCCAAACATGGTCAGTTTTATGTCATATCACAACGCGGTCCCAGAAACGTCAAACATATTAGTCCCATCGCTTTAGGATCTTCGCAAACAGTGTAAACAACATCGTTGTGGTATGTTTCTGGCTTTTGCCTCCCAAGCTCCATATTCAATGCTGCAGTCATCAAAACACTGTGATGATAGTGTTGTTCGTCTGTTCGTGCGAATGTCTCAAACCTAGTAGTTCTTGAGTGGTTTTCCCCCGCGCACTGTCTCGGACGCCAAAGAGCCTCTCCAGGTCTCGGCCACGCGGGCGCCTTGGGCTGCCGTTGGCTCCCCCCCGCTGGGAGGAGGATTTCTGAGGACCGGGCGCTGTGTGGTTCAGCCTGCAACGCCTGTACAGCCTTTGGTCTTTCCCCCGCGCACTGTCTCGGCGACACCGCACAGCCGGTCGGCTTGTGCAGGTCGGCTTGGAGTCTGGCGCCACCCCGGCGATTCACTCCGGTGCCTCCGCACATTCTTCTCGGCAGCCCGTTTACTTCGGTTCACGTCGCTGCGCCTATGTGCGCTTGCTTGTGAATTTAGTTCATTTTGTCCTGTGCATGCGCATCTGCAAATAGTCTAGCGTGTGCGAACTTGTCCGCCGACGCTGGCGGCTCTGTTCGCCAATTCGCTTCGTTCCGCCACCCGGACGCCGCTTTCGCTCCTAGGCCGTCCCCTGGGAGCCGCCGACCAAAAAAATACCCCCACCAGTTTGGTGAGTGGGCCGGCTGGCCTGCGGCGCGTTTAGTAGCTAATTAGGCCGTTACCGTGTCCCGGAACGCTTCTGACTCCGCTTGCGCTCTCGCTGGCGGACGCGACCGAAAAAGAATCCCCACCAGTCGCGGCCCAGCTAGTGTTGGGACGGCTTCCGACTTGCTTCCCGAGCCCGCAGACCAAACATATCCCCACCAGTCCATCCAGAAACGATGCCCATGAGGGTTGACGGGGAGAACGGGGAAGAGACACGCATAACCAAACAGCGAGGGAGGCTTGGGAGGCTCCGTGGCCATCTCGAGCCTTTTTGGAGCGGTCTGCTGGCCGCTTGGAGCATCCTGGGAGCTATCTTGAGCCAGCTTGGGTTATCTTGGAGGTCATTTTCGGCTCTCTGAGGTCGCTCGGGGGCCTGTTGGAGGCCTCTCGGGGGCCTATTGGAACCCCTCTTGGGGCATCTTGGGGCGCTTTTGGGACCCTCTTGGGGGCCTCTTCGGAGCCCTGGAGGGCCTCTTGGGGCCTCTTTGAGGCGGTCGGTCAAAACAGGGGTGGCACTCGATTTGCGTCCCCCCTCGGGGGCCACGATCCTCGTGAGGGGTGGTAAAAAATGACCCTCCCAATGGCCGAAAAAGGAGCCTCCGACACCTCGCGATCCGTCACAAAAAACCTCAGGACGGGGAGGGGGGGGCTCCCCTCCCCGAAGGGGGAAGAGGGGTTGTGGAAGTGGAAAGAGATCCTCGTTAGACCACCTGTCTCCCAAAGGGCTGGTGGGATTGCCCATGTCACAGATGTCGGCGTTTCCGGGCACGCTTGGATCAAGAATTCCTTTTGTGAGTTGAATGATATGATTCGTGTAGTTGTTCCCAGGTATCGTATGGAAGTCTCCCCCCTTTGCGTTGTGGTTGCCATGTTGCGTCCGTATGTTGTGTGCATCGCCAGACATCGTCTAATACATGTTTCGCTCATGTCGTGGGCCAAGTAAGGATTTTTGTTTGCCATGATGGAGTGTGCAAGTTGGCGTAGTACTCATATCAATGTGCTACATTTCCAAGAGTTGCTAGCCAGTCTCCAAGTAATTCGAAATTGGTCGCAGAACAGGCTGCACTCGGTACCAAATTGAACACCGCGCAACGCCAACATACAAGTATCAATTTGTTGTTTCCAACGCCTTGGACAGCATCATCCAATGTTTAATTGTCCGCGTATCCCCACCAGCCCATCCAGGAACGATGCCTTGGGGCGCTGCCCTTATCGGGGGAGCGGGGCGCCATTTAGATACCGCAGGGAGCCTAAGTGAACTAGAGGCCTCATGGATCTCGGAGTCGCTTGAGGTGTCTCCTGGGATGCTCTTCGTGGCCTCTCAGGGCGTCTTGGGGGCTCTTGGGGGCGTCTGGGAACGCCCTGGGTGCCTCTTGTAGATCTCTTAAGGGCCTCGTGGTGCCTTCTCGGGCCGTCTTGGGAGCCTTGAAGGCCTTTTCGGGATCGTCTTGGAGGACATCGATCCAAAAAAACAGGTGCCTTAGTTTGCACTGCTCCTCGAACGCCCCTAACATCGTCTCTTGGGGTGCTCTTGGGCGCTCTTGGGGCCGTCTTCGAGCCCTTTTGGGCCACCATTTAGTATGTTCTTTGGCTCTTTTGAAGCAAGCGAAAGGCCAACATCGATGATTTTCCGAAGGTTTTGGAAGGATGTTGGCCTGGGAGCGTCCTGGGAGCGGTCCTGGGCCTCGTGGACGATGTCGGAAGCAATTTCGAGTTATCTTGGAGGCAATCTTGGGCTATCCGGGGCCCTCTTGTAGCCACCTTGGGCTATCTTTGGCGCTGTCACTGCCCGTGAAGCCCCGTCCACACCCAGGGGGAGGGAGGAGGGGCCAAGCCACCCCAGGCAGTAAAGCGCGTCGCCCTCCCGCTAGAGACGTCGCAGAAGAGGGGACCGAGTGGCAGATCCTTCGAGCCCCAAAGGCAACGGGACCACGATGGACGGTGGCACGGATGAAAGGAGGGACGGGAGGGGGAGGGGGAGGAGGAGGAGGAGGAGGAGGAGGAGGAGGAGGAGGAGGAGGAGGAGGAGGAGGAGGAGGAGGAGGAGGAGGAGGAGGAGGAGGAGGGGAGGGGGAGGGGAGGGGGAGGGGGAGGGGGAGGGGGAGGGGGAGGGGGAGGGGAGGGGGAGGGGGAGGGGAGGAGGAGGGGGAGGAGGAGGAGGAGGAGGAGGAGAGGAGGAGGAGGAGGAGGAGGAGGAGGGGGAGGAGGAGGAGGAACGACGCGCAGTGGCCGTCGCCCGAGAGCGTGCCCGACGAGGGGGGCAACCCGCAGCCTCGGCCTGCGCTCTGGCGAGGACGGGCCTCTTTCGGGGAGGCCCCGCAGCACGGGCGCCGCTGGCCAACACGACGGCACGTTGCCTTCTTCTCCCCTTGTGGACTTGGGCGAAGGGGCGTCCTCGCGGACCCGCTTCATGGCCTGCAGCTCCCCAGACCCCCTCGAGTAATGAAAAAATCACGACGGGAGGTTTTTCCTAATTTTCGGCCTCCAGGGGCCCTCACCGGGCCTCGGGAGCGTCAAAAAACGACTCAGGATGCAAAGCCGGTCATGGGGAAAGGGTCGGGACCTTTGGAGGTCGACGCAATGAACAAATCATTACGTCGGGGGTCTGGCTCCAGGGCGAAGCACTCCTCGAAGGCGGGGTCCGCGTAGCGGCCGCAGCCGCGGAAGCCGATCGTGGGGTTCTCCTGTGCGGCGGCGAGCGAGGGGGGGAAGCGAGAAGGGGCAGGCCCTTAGTGGGCCCTGGAAACGACAGGGCCGTTTTTTTCGCCGGTTCCGTTTTGCCGTTTCTGTTGCCGGTTCCGACGCCGTTTTTGGAACCGGTTCCGTCGCCGTTTTTTGACCGGTTCCGGCTCCGGGTCCAATCCTGGGGCCGTTTTTTTGCCGTTTCCGGTCGCCGTTTTTTTGCCGCTTCCATTTTCAAGGGACATTTTTTCGGAAACGGTGAAAAACCAGCCCTGCCGTTTCCGGGGCCCACAAAGGAGTTGGCATCGCTCGGACGTGTGCATTTTTCCTCGGCGAAACCATCGAGGACCATCCCGGACCATCGAGCAACAAAAATACACGCACGAAGCCGAAAAATGCACGGGTGATGGACGTCCGAGCGGCGGCAGGTGGAGGGGAGGACCCCCTGGGATGAGGGCGTCCTCGTCCTTGCATGGGCTTGCCCGTGCGCCGGGGCCCTGGGGCCACGGCAGAGGACGCCAGGGCACTCCGCTGCCGAGCGCCCGGAAGAGCCTGACCAATGCGCACATGTGCTGGCTCAGAGACAGCCGCGGGCAGGTCACGGCCCCGCCGTCGGACCAGCGGGGGCCCGCCGCGGTGGCGAAGCCGGCGGGCGTCTTGTGGAAATCGGATTCCGAGGACGAGAATTCGGCTCGCTTTGGCCTATTCACGCCCAGGGCCATGCCTCGGGATGCGATAGCCGTCGGGCCGAGAGCGTCGAGCCCAAGAGGCGACTTGAGTTTGAAGAAGCGGT